ATGCAGCATGGCCAGCAGCAAGGCCTCTCATCTTGGAAGGGCATGTCCCCCTCTGGAGTTTTATTTCGATGATTTTGTTGTTGTTTCCATAGATCTTCAAAGTCTATAAAAATATGTTTTTGGTATATATCCCTCTACCCAGTTGTTCTGGCAGGACTGGGGCTTCCGTGTAGAAGCCAATACTACCTCATACCAGGAACAACAAGTTTTCCTCTCCATGTTCACTGTTCTTCTACAGTATAGAAGTCTACTTAGCTTTCCAACATTTAAAATATACTCTACTCCATATTACCCTGTATATTATTATTGGAAATTTAGACTTTTTTGTCTTGTAACAGATATTCCTGTAATTAAATTTATGATTATGTAGTTAGTGCTTTTTCTTGGTACAAATTGGTAAATAAATGTATAATTGCTGTGCCAACAGATATACATAGTTGTTTTTTTTTTTTAACTTTAGTTTTTTTTCCTTCCATTGGGTCTTTTTAGTTATACGTAGCATTAGGATTCATGCTGACCTAATTATAAAAGCATGGAATATAGTTTGCTCTAATTCAATCCCCAGTGCTTCCTGTTTTTCTCCCCTCCTCCCTCTCACTGTTCCCTTCCTTCCACTCTGCTGATCTTTCCGCCATTTACTTTTAGTTTTGTTTTTTTTTTTTAATAGTCAGTGTCTTGTGAATATACGTGATAGTGAGATTTATTCTGGTGTATTCATATATGTGCACAGGGAAGGAAGGTCACATTCATTCTGCTGTTCTTCCTTATCCTGTCTCTTCTTCCTACCCCTCAGTTCCCTTCATCTACTCCACTGATCTTTCTTCTATTTTGATGGAACCCCCCCCACACACACACATATCTTTTCCCTTTCTACATTCTTCTTTGTCTCCCCCATGCCCCCACCCTTCTTTTGGACTCATTTCTGCAAACCAGAGAAAACATTTGACTTTCAGCTGAGTCTGGCTTATTTCATTTGGCCTGATGGTCTCCATTTACCAGCAAATGCCATCAAGTCATTCTTCTTTATGGCTGAGTTCTTCTTTATGGCTCCATTGTGCATATTTACCACATTTTCTTTATCAAGCAAGGGAACAAATCACCTCAAACAGCCCAAAACATTTCAACCACTGACTCTTTTGATCTCACAGTGGAAGAGATGTCAGAGAAGTAATTTGGAAATCTCATAGTTAAAATTCTAGATTTTGATATTGGCAAATATCTGTTAAGAAATACTGTACTTTCACAGTTTATGAGAACTCCCACTTTTCCTTTGTGACATATTAGTGATATACAATGAGATTTTACTTCTTCAGTAATAAGCCTACATGCTACTTTAATCTCTGGAAAATGCAGGAAATGTTAAGATTTTTTCCTCAGTATTCAGGTTGCTGTCATGAGATGATGTAAGCCCTAGAAAAATAATAATGTTATTGATATTTGCATTTTTACTTAAATGAAAATATACATTGTCTATAGTAGCAGAAAAACAGACATAAGCTCAAATATTTATTTTGTTTGTTTGGATACATAGGAAATACTCAGTTAATGTTTGTTTTTTTAAATATATTTTTTATTTTTTTACATGACAGTAGAGCATATTTTGAAATATCATACATAGAATAGGTATAGCTTTTTCCAATTAGGATCCCATTATTGTGGTTATACATGACGTGGAGTTACATTGGTGTTACATTCATGTATGAGGATAGGACAGATATGGGCAATTCATTTACTGTCTTTCCTGTTCCAATCCCCACTCCCTTTACTTCATTCCCCTTTGTCTAGTCCAATGAACTTATAATCTTCCTCTCCCTTGTTGTGGGTTAGCATCTGCATATCACAGAAAATATTCTGTCTTTGTTGTTTTGGGACTGGCTTATTTCACTTAGCATGATATTCTCCAGTTCCATCCATTTATTAGCAAATGCCATAATGTCATTCTTCCTTATGGCTGAGCAATATTCCATTGTGTATACATACCACATTTTCTTTATCCATTTATCTGTTGAAGAGAACCTAGGTTGGTTCAATACATTGGCTATTGTGTTGAGCTGCTTTAAACATTGAAGTGGCTGCATCACTGTCGTATGCTGATTTTAAATCCTTTGGATTTTAACCAAGGAGTGGGATACAGGATCCAATGTTGGTTCCATTCCAAGTTATCTCAGGAATTTCCATACTGCTTTCCAAAATGATTACACCAATTTGCAGTCCAACCAGCAATGTATAAGTGTACCTTTTCCCTCACATTCTCGCCAACATTTATTGTTGCTTATATTCCTGGTAATGTCTGTTCTGACTGGCGTGAGATGGAATCTCAGTGTAGTTTTGATCTCCCATGCTCTTGGATAGGAAGAATTAATATTATTAAAATGGTCATATTACCATTTTATGCGCTATACAGACTTAATGCAATTCCTATTAAAATTTCAATAACATTCTTCATAGAAATAGAAAAAGCAATCAGTCACAAAATTCATTTGGAAAAACAAGAGGCTCAGAATAGCCAAAGCAATATTTAGCAAGAAAAATGATGCAGGAGGCATCACAATATTAGAACTTAAATTATATTCAGAGCAAGAGTAATAAAAAATGGCATGGTATTGGCCCCAAAACAGACATGAAGACCAGTGAACAGATTAGAAGACACAGAGTCACACCCACATAAATACAGTTAACTCATCCTAGACAAAGGCACCATAAACATACATTGGGGAAAAGATAGCCTCTTCAGCAAATGGTGCTGGGAGAACTGGAAATCCATATGTAGAATAATGAAGTTGAACCTCTATTTCTTCCCCTGCACAAAACTCAACTTAAAATGGATCAAGGGCTTAGGCATTAGACCAGAGACTCTGCACTTGCTAGATGAAAATGTAGACCCAACTCTCCACCAAGTCAGTTTGAGAAGCAACTTCTTCAGTAAAACTCCTAAAGCACAAGAAGTAAAATCAGGAGTCAATAAATGGGACGGTATCAAACTGAAAAGGTTCTTCACAGAAAGAAAACAATCAAGATGATGAACAGAGACCCTACAGAATGGGAGGAAATCTTTACCACCAGCACCTCAGACAGAGCATTAATCTCTAAGATACACAAGGAACTCAGAAAACTTAATACCAAAAAACAAATACCCTAATCAATAAATAAGCTAAGGAACCAGACACTTCACAGATGAAATCTCTAGCAATATCTCTAGAAATGCAGATCAAAACTACACTGAGATTCCATCTCAGTTAATATTTGTTGATGTGCATATTTTGCTTTTTGAATCTTCCTTTCTATATCTTTAAGAGTAATATTTTATATTCTTTGGTTTCAAGGAAAGCAAAAATTTGTTGAAAATATGGTGTATCTTCATGTGAATTAGACAAAAAAATATAACTTCTGTCTTCTCCTAAATCTATTTTTGTTGGAACTCAACCTCTGAACAGAGACCAAGATAAGATTTTTAAAAATCAAAGATTTTTAAGTCATATCTCTCCTTGATATGACTTTGAATGTCAGCAGTCTGGCACATACTTTTTCCATTTTAAGATGGAAACAGTTATACTTCTAAAAAGATAAACATACTTTTTCATCACCTGTAGTGATGAAGTTGGAAATTTTTTTTTTTTTATATTCCACAGGTACAAAACTATCAGAGCCAACTAGTTAAGATGAATATTTGTTTGACTTTGGTTTCCATTTAGAGATGTTTGTTCAACTTAACCCATTAAGCCCCAAGTTTTCAATTCTGTTAACATAATAAATATTCACATGTTTATTGGCATGAAAACTGAGACCCTTAAAAGAGGCCCTGCATCCTCAATATTCAGAAAAATATATTTCATCATCTTTTTGTTGATGTTTAACTTATTTTAAAATATGGGAAGTGTTAAGTATATTTTAAAAAGCCAATAATATTATACATACGATTGTGCCTACCATCATTTTTGCTATTTCTGCCTTTCATTTACACAGGGATGCTTTGAGTCGGGATAGCCTCTCTGTTGGTATTATAATGTATTTCTCTTACATAATCTGTTTTTGGATCTTCAAATGGTCACTTATTAGAAATTTAGTCTTTGTATTTTCCTCACTATGATTTTTCTTTAAATAAAGATTTCAGGGGCTGGAGATGTGGCTCAAGCGGTAGCGCGCTCGCCTGGTGTGCGTGCGGCCCGGGTTGGATCCTCAGCACCACGTACAAACAAAGATGTTGTGTCTGCCTGCCGATAACTAAAAAATAAATATTAAAAAAAAAAAAAAAGATTTCATTTTTTTATGCGTTTGTCTCAGATGGACTCTAGTAGTCACTGGGATATTTATTTTCATTTTCTTCTCTGCGGGCCCATTTGAAATAATATTGAATATCATTGCCTGTTTAATGATTTATGTGTGGAAGCCCTTGAACGGCTCCTAGGAAGTGTTACCTTGAAAATACAGTGCATATTCAAACACTGAAGTCCTTTCAGATGCTGAAGTGTTTTCAAAGGTTGATATTCTGTTTCATGCATATTCAGAAATGGGTTCTGATACTCTTTGAGCCAAAATTAGTATGCAGAGGCACAATCTCTGATTTTCTTACTTTCTTCCTGTAATTGACAGTTTTTGTTACTTCAATGTCACTCTTGTCCTTTCAGTATGTTCTCCAGATGACCCACTTCCATGCTGTGTCTTCTTAAAGTATATTTAGGGGTTTCATTTTTTTTTAACCTTATTTTTTGTATATTTGTGCATTTCTAGTAGACAGTTGAGATGATTTTTTTTTAAAAGCCTGGGGTCACTAGGTTGAGGGTACATTAAGTAGGGGAATGAAACAGGGATGGGGACAAGGATATGCAGTTACTTAAGCATTTAATCCTAATAGCACACTGGACTCTGGGGTGAAGGCCAGTGGAATATTTTTTGCCCAGGCACTGGAGTTATGCAAACAGAAGTCATTGCTCACCCACGGTTTCATGATTGAGAAAGTAAACTTGTACATTTGGTCTTTTTTTTTTTTTTTTTTCTTTTAGGTTCAAAAAGGCATTTGAATCTGAGCCAACACTACAGTCAGGAATTAATTACGCGGTCCTTCTCCTAGCAGCTGGGCACCAGTTTGAATCTTCCTTTGAGCTTCGGAAAGTTGGTAATTACAGCTTGATATTTTACGTGGAAATCAAGAAACTAGGCCTAAACTTGGTACAAGGAAACAGAATCATGAGTGGATAAATTCTTTTGCTATCTCATCTGACTTCCTGGGGGAAAAAGGTTTATTATATCTCCTTGCTTCAAATTTCATACTATGGTATGAATTCTGATGAATTCTGATATTAGAATATAGTTCAGGTTTTAGTTTATTTTACTTGTTTCCAAAAGCCCCTGTTTAACGTTTATTGTTCTCGATTAAATCAATATTGATGATATTAGTTGGGGGCCCTGCATTCAGCCACCGACTCCCAAATAAGGTAAGTGTTTTGTGGAACATCAGTTTCCTTTTTAAGATTGTGTTTTCCCAGAGCTTTTTAAAATAAAAATGAAAATCATACCTCTGTTTCCTTTTTCTGTTTTTTTAACACACCCATCCCTGTGGCTTCATGGATGTTGGTAGTGGAACCTCCAAAGTTCCTGGAACAGGTCAAGTAGATGGCAGTCTTGGCAGTGACTGGTCCGTCTCTGAATTGTCATCAGGATAAAGTGTGCATTTGTGACTGGTCCGTCTCTGAATTGTCATCATGATAAAGTGTGCATTTGTCTCTTATCTGTAGACAGTGTCCCATCTGCTGACCTGTTTTTGGAATCTGAAAAAGGGTGTTTTGCTGGGTGTGGTGGCACATGCCTGTAATTCCGGCAGCTCCGGAAGCTGAGGCAGGAGATCACAAGTTCAAAGCCAGCCTCAGCATCTTAGCAACTTAGTGAGACCCTGTCTTAAAATAAAAAGGATAACAAAACAACAACAACAAAAAAACCCACACCAGGCTGGGGATGTAGCTCAGTGGTTAGGCACCCTGGGTTCAATTTCTAGTATCAAAAAACAAAAACAAAACAAAAAATTAGGTTGTCTTTGTAGATAAATTTTGAGTGATTTTTCTTCGTTTTTGATTTTGACTTTTTAAAAAATATTTTTGGATGCTAGAATACCATCTGTGGTAATCAGATTTTGTTCTCTTGAGTGTCTGACTGCCCTCGTTCCATAATAACTCTTGGAGGAGTTATTATTACAGACATAGAAGTCTTTGGCTTTAGTTTTCAGAAGGGAAAAAATTGATCTTAATAAAGCTATGCATTGTAGAAAAAAATTTTCCTTTAAAGTTTTAAACTGGGGAATGTTCTAATTTTCTTTAAAGAAAAATGAGTCCTGGGCTTTTAAATATTATTTGGGAAGCATTTATAAGATATTCTTATGTAATGTTCTGGGAAATTTTTGCAGGAAGATAAAGTTTGAGTATAGTAGTAATTTTTTTTAGAGAAAGAGTGAGAGAGAGAGAATCTTTTTTTTTTTTTTTTTGTAGATATACACAACACAATGCCTTTATTTTTATGTGGTGCTGGGAATCGAACCCGGGTCGTGCCCATGCTAGGCGAGCACCCTACTGCTGAGCCATAATCCCAGCCCAAGTAATAATTTTTTTAAGTCTCAGTCTAAAAGAATGAAAAAATAACTTATTACTACTAGACTGTAGTGGTATTAAAGGCAGAAAGCTCTATTTTAAATATTTTTTTCACTGGTAAATGAAATCAGAGAAAATATATTACAACTTGTGCTTTTCAGAAATTAGAGAAAAATATTGTATTTAAGATTTATTTTAGATCTCTAGCCAAAACCCTTTTATGTTAATAATTTTTATTGCTCTGTTCTTAGAACTCAAAGTGAAGTTTGGTCAAAGAGTAAATTCTCATAGGATTTGACATTGGTTTTACATTTATAGGTAAAGCAGTTTATACTTGCTTGAAAAATATACATTCTAAGTCTCATTTTGAAGTGGAGTAAAAAATAAGACAGTCAGCAATCCAAGGTTTGAGGAATTGTAACATAACATTGCAAAGTAAACATAACTTTTAAAAACTCATAACACATGTTGAATAAGTATTTGAAAATATATGAAGTTGGATTTAAAATTTTGGAAATTTTACAGCATGCACAGATTTAAGATATGACTTTATGATGAATTTTTAGCTACTATAAGAACTTAGCTTAATAAAAACTATGTTTTAGCCTTCTGTAATACTGTGCTATACACCTAAATGGGGTATGCCATTCAATAATGAAAAAAGTAGTTCATTAGCATAGTTTTTTTCAATCATAAATTAATGCCAATTAAAATAGGTTGATTTTTATATATTAAGATTAAATGGGTTTTCAAGGTGGTTGGTTAAATAAGTTAGTGGGACAATATTATAATGATATTAATAACATAATGAAAATAAAACTAATGACATATTTAGTGTATTTTAAAGATATATGGTTACATTTTTTCATTAAACACTCTAATCAAATTTTTCAGTAATTTATGGTCTTCTTCCATTCTTTCTGTTGGTCACTCCAGATACTCAAATTAGTCTGAGTTAGCTGGATGGGGTGGTATACACCTGTAATCCTAGCAGCTCAGGAGTGTGAGGCATGAGGGTCACAAGTTCAAGGCCAGCCTCAGCAACTTAGATAGACTCTGCCTCAAAATAAAAAATAAGAAAAGACCTAGGGATTGTAGCTCAGTGATACAGTCCCCTGGGTTCAATCCCCAATACCAGCAAACAAATTAGTTCAAATTACTGAAAAATTAATCAGATTTTTCTTTATGAAATCCCTTCTTTAACAGCTTTTTGAAATTTTATTGTATTTACAAAGGGAAAACTATTAAAAATTAAAATGTCATAAGATGAACACTGAATCTGAAGCTTTCTAAACATATATCTTAAGTTTAAAATCTCAAATGTAAGAAATTATTCTCAAGTGTTATGATATGTTGCCTAATGTCTCTATTGGTCCATTTTCTGTTACTAGAACAAAATACTTGAGGCTGGGTATTTTGTAAAGAAATGATGTCTATTTAGCTCACAGTTTTGGAGGCTGAAAGTCCAAGATTGGATGGTGCCAATGATTTTGTTTTTGTTGAAGGACCTCTTGGTTATAATACATCATGGTGGATGTCATTATGGTAGGAGCACCTGTAGAGGGAGGGATCACAGGAAAGCAAGAGAGACAGGAAGCCAGAGTGTGATTCCAGGATCAGGCTTATTCTTATTTAGCAACTCATTCTCATGAGATCTAATGAACATCCCACGAGGACTACCTTGATCTTTTCTGAGGACAGTGAGGACAGCATCTCCCATGACCTACTCCCTCCCCCTAGGCTCCACCTCTTCAAGTTTCCACCACCTCCCAGCATCCCTGCACTGCAGACTAAGCTGCCAGCTCATGCACCTTTGGAAGACGCCCTCAAACCGTGTCCAGACCTTAGCAGACTCTTCATTCTAGTTGTGTTTGCTTAAGGTTATGACTAACTGCCTCTGGGTCTATTTTACTTTTCCAGTTTTAGAAGAGTCATGGATGTTTAGACTGTTGAAAACTAGGATTTAAAAGTGCAGAACCACATTTTGCATCTTTTTTTTTCTTTTTGGGCTTTATAAGCCTTAAAATTAATATTCAAACTTTTAGCTAAATAAAAGATGATTCTCTCTCGTCTTCTGTGGAATTTTTCAACTATGAGACATTTTATGGGAGAGG